GTCTTTAGTTAGCACATATCATTAATAATGGCAATGCATATCTCAAAAAGAAACTAAAGTGTTTTCCTGAGTGTTTAATAAGCTACTGGATGCCATGTCGTAAATAAAAGCATTTATCTTTCTATCTTTTTGTAATGCATCTGTCTCTCTCTCCTCATGCTGTTGCCCTCAGTAGGACCTGCACGGTTACGGAGTGAAGTCGGATATCTACAGTTTAGGTATCGTTGCTTGTGAGCTGGTGAGCGGCAGGGTGCCTTTCCAGGACATGCCCCCCACCCAGGTAATAAAAACACTTCCAAGAAGAAAGTATCTGTGCATTAGGTACGGACAAATACAGGATTGTAGTGCAGATTGGGATGAAATATGTGAAAGTCAATCGTTTCCCACAATCCCGAGGAATAACAAATACAAATATGTATATACATATATCAACAGACACATTTGTACAATTGCACACATTAAGACATCAATAAAATCACAAGAATCAATTTGCATAAAAGTGTTTCCTTACATTCATGGGTCATTGTATTTACAGTAATTTCTTGGTGCAATCTTGCCTATAAAAACGTATTAAGTGTTGATGAAAGCACTTTGAATATGCTATATAAATAAACGTACCTTACCTTACCTTTGATTGTCTGATTGTGCAGATGCTGCTCCAGAAGCTTCGCGGTTCCCACTGTTGTCTTTTAGACGTGGCTCCGTTCCCACTGAGTGAACTGGGGGGTCTGAAAGTGTCTCGATCCGGCGTTGACTCTGGAATCGGGGAAAGTGTCGCGACGGGAAGTATGACCCACAGCGCCACCGCTCCTCCCACCGAACGACCACAGAGCCCCGCACCCAAAAACCACTCGGCCACTTTGCACAATCTGGTTCAGCTTTGTCTTCAGCAGCAGCCGGACCAAAGGTTAGCTAAAGAATCTGTTAAAAAAATCTATAAGACAACTCATACAGAAGTCCTCATCAACTCTCTTAGGACACAAACACATGATATAATATCACATTTAAGTAATTCAAGTTTAATTAAAGGATTTTTTGCAGATTTTGCAACTCCATTTCCTCAGTAAATAGTCATAAGATGATATGTATAGGTGTTAGAGATTACCTATTGTTTGCTATGAAACATTAGTGTATATTTGTGTATTTATTTATACAAGAAACCACCTTTTTTCACTTCTGTCTCCACTTATAGTGGGTTAAGTACATTCTTAGAATAAGTGAGAAATGGATAGAACTTCTGTTTTCACAGCTATCACACTGGAGAAATTATTTTAATTTATGGCATTAATAATTAATATCTAACCATTATTTTATCGCTTTTATGAATTGTTTTGTTTGTTTTGAATTATTATGTGTTAAATGCCTATGTGAAGCACTTTGAATTGCCTCTTTGTCTTAAAATGTACTATACAAATAAACTAACCTTGAACCTTAAAGGACCAGCTTGCTTTACTTGATGAATGAATCTGATATCATTGCAGATATGACTTTTTTTTCTCTATCTCCCATAGGCCGTCTGCATCTTCACTTTTGACCCACGCCTTCTTCAAACAGGTGACTTTATTAAACATGTCTGCTCCTCTCAGCTGTGAACCCTAAATGCCATTGTTTTGAGCAAATGTGTCTTTTCTTTTCCAGGTGAAGAGGCACACCAGAGAGACTTTCCTGAATCTAATGTATCCAGCAGTGCCCTTTTCCAGTCCTGATGATCCTCCAGTGTCTTGCCCCCCCGCCTCCTCATGCCATCCTCCTTCATCCCCCGAAACTACGGAGGCTGTTTGGGACTTTTCCTAACTCCAAAAAATGATCTGAAAAAAAAAATCCTGACTAGAAAAAGCCAAACGAAAGGACAATCAAAGCAAAAGCAACAAGGCCAAATTCTACTGTGCTTTGAATGGGATGGGATGTGGGATGTGTATTATCATCCCTACTCGCTGAGCCTTTTTTTTTTTTAAAGTATATCGTTTTTTAGATACGTTTGTCTGATGCGTATATGGTGACATTACTGTGAAAGTGCTGGATCATCAATGAACTGTCAACGTGTCACAGGACAAAACACTAATTTGTTGACTTACGATCACGCACTTCCTCTGAGATTAAAAGGCAACTATGCTACTACAGTTATACTAAACAGTATGTTGTTGTTATGGTGTTATATCCTAATAGGTACTTAGAAAATAACCCCTGTAGTGTCTGAGTATCCGAGGTTAGATGCAATATGTATTCAGACTGTGAATAGTGAATACAGAGGTACGTAATGGGACATTTACAACAGCAAGAGAGAAACATCAATCTTACATTTGCATAAAAGTGCTTCCATGGGTACATTTTCAAATATGTAAATATTTTTCTGCTGTACTCTTGAACATATATGCACATTGTTTATTGTATTAACACTCATTTCTTAGTGCAATCTTGCCTATAAAAACGTAGCAATAGAATAGATGTGATGTCTTAATGTAGGGGTTATCCATAGACACTGTAGAGAAGTCTTCCCAGCCCTTATTGTCGGTGATTCACCAGAAGATTATTTTTTAACGTGCTTACTTATCCAACAATGCCTTTCTGTTCTGATAATCTGATCTATTTGTAACTGTGATTGAGTGTACTGTGTATGAGAACTGTGATTTACAGAACTTATCGAACATGGTAGCTGTATGAGCCTTATATATACACGTATAGTTATAAATTATATATAAATATGAATATGCAAACTTTGATTTTCTTGACTTATTTGTTTTCCATTCATACATCCTCTCTTAGGACACAAACGTATGATATAATTAAGCAATAGCTCACGACAGGCCGTGGTATATGCTCATATCACAGCTAAGGGGCGTGGTTCGGCCCGACGCGAAAAGTTTGCTTTTCAGCCCAACTGTATACTGTTTATCTCAGACGCGGAGGGATACTGAGTTGTTGTGAAAAGTAACTTACAATTCTACGTATACCACGGCTAAGAACCAATCAGATTGCTTGATTTTACTTGTCCGTCTCAACTTAATGATAAAAATAAGAATTGTATTGTAACAGTATTGACTAATTCAAGTTGAATTAAATGAATTTCTTGCTGATTTTGCAGCTCTATTTCTTCAGTAAATGGTCATAAAATGATAGAAAAACTGTGATGGAGGTGTTACAGTGTACCTATTGTTTGCTATAAAACATTAGTGTATATTTATGGCATTTATTTACACAATAAAACTCCTCCACTGACACATTAGAGTCAATACAGACAAGATCTACTCTCGTGCAGTAGCATTTGTTCCCACGGTTTGATCAGATTTGCTCGTGTCAGTGCAGACATGTGGGGTAGAAGTCGTCTCCTTACCCTGGCAGATTGTGCACCTCCTCCAACGTTTGGAAAACTTCCTGAGGAGTGGAAGAGGCAGTAACTCCCCAGAAGAACAAGACGGCTTTCTTCTCGGCCATGTCGAACCTTTTCTTAATGTCTGTGTGTTTCCGTCTCCCAACAGGAACGTGTTTCCTCTGCTGCTGCAGGGAGCTTCTGGTCGTGCCTGAGGGGAAACGTTGCCCTTTGTACACGCTCACTTTGTACACACTCACTTTGTACACGCTCACTTTGTACACACTCACTACACACTCACTTTGGACACACTCACTACACACTCACTTTGTACACACTCACTTTGTACACGCTCACTTTGTACACACTCACTACACACTCACTTTGTACACGCTCACTTTGTACACACTCACTTTGTACACGCTCACTTTGTACACACTCACTTTGTACACGCTCACTTTGTACACACTCACTACACACTCACTTTGGACACACTCACTACACACTCACTTTGTACACACTCACTTTGTACACGCTCACTTTGTACACACTCACTACACACTCACTTTGTACACGCTCACTTTGTACACACTCACTTTGTACACTCGCTTTATACACACTCACTTTGTACACACTCACTTTGTACACGCTCACTTTGTACACACTACACACTCACTTTGTACACTCGCTTTGTACACAGTCACTTTGTACACACTCACTTTGTACACACTCACTTTGTACCCACTCACACAGCAGAAACGCCCCCCAGCCTGCTCACCATGCAGAGCTGGGAAGTAAGTACATTTACAAAAGTACTCTACTAAAGTTCATTTTGAGGTACTTTACTTGATTATTTCCATGTTATGCTCATACTTCATACTTCTACTTTTCTACAGTTCAGAGGTAAATGGTGTACTTTTCCTCCACTACATGTATTGAATACCTTTAGTTACTTTACAGATCTGGATGAATGGTGTGAAATATAATCATGTGTTAAATCAGACTTTAGTTCCACCTGGAGTAAATCCACAAGCTACCCTGCAGTATACAAAGTCATTCAAACTAGCTGCACCTTTACCAGCTTTGAGAACACTTTCATGATCAATCATTATAAAACATTGATATCATATATATTATTCTGAAATGGACCAATCTGCACAATGACTACTTTTACTGTCGCTACTTTAACTATATTTTGATGAGAATACTTTTCGACTTTGACTTGAGGAACATTTTGAATGCAGGACTTTTACTGTAACAGAGTATTCCTACACTCTGGTACTTCTACTTTTACTCAAGTACAAGATCAGAGTACTTCTACTTTTACTCAAGTACAAGATCTGAGTACTTCTACTTTTACTCAAGTACAAGATCTAAGTACTTCTACTTTTACTAAAGTACAAGATCTGAGTACTTCTACTTTTACTCTAGTACAAGATTGAGTACTTCTACTTTTACTCAAGTACAAGATCTGAGTACTTCTATTTTACTCAAGTACAAGATCTGAGTACTTCTACTTTTACTCAAGTACAAGATCTGAGTACTAATACTTTTACTCAAAAACAAGATAATGGTACTTCTTCTTTTACTCAAGTACAAGATCTGAGTACTTCTACTTTTAAAGTATCAGCTCAACAACTTGATTGTTTTCTGGTCCAATAGTGGCATCTTGTGGATATTAGAGGACGCTACGAGCATTCAGAGTTAATGTGCATACAGGAAGTGCGGTTGTGCATCGAAAGTGAAAGTAATGCAAACTAGGGAGGATTCAGACATTGAGCACGAGGCTGTACGGTTGGATTCATGGAAAACTTCGACATCTTACCTCAGAGAGAAATCCCTGAAGCTCTCTCTGTGCCACACAGGTAAGTTTAATAAAGAAGAACAGGACAAACAGCGTTTTAGCTATCTTTCATATGAACAGAGCACACAGGCCTACTCTTGCGTTCCCGATATCATCGCACAAGGAATCATTCATTTAAAGACAAAACCTGTGGATGATCATTATGTTTTCAACTTGTATTACTTTAGTTATTAGCTCTTCACCATGTTTTAAGATTTCAGTGTGTTTTAGTTAACTTATTTCCCAACTATGCTCAAAGTGTATCAGAAACATAGATATTATATATCTCAGGTATCAGAGCAGAGCATTAATCCAGCACCAAACTTGTGAAAATGGCCCATAACGTTTGATTTGTTTGAGAATGTGATAAATTGACTTTGGTCACGTCCTGTAGGGGTTTAGGTTTTATTTTGAAAGGAACAGCCGGATGTGACAGTACTAACGGAAACATTAACCAAAACGTTAACGGACGGAACTCACAAGCCTCATCCCATGATGTGCAATTCATTTCTTAAGGTTATACTAACAATTTAAGTCATGTTTAATGATCTTGAACGTCACTAAAACATAGCTATTAATAAAGCTATTTCATGAATGGCTAGATCTTGATAAATAACAATTATTTGTATTGTTTTGTGTTAAGATATTCTGGAGTTAAATTATTTAAAATTCACAGTCCTGAATGTGTTTTGGTGAATGTATGGATGATTTATATGTTCAGAGACTTGTATGTTAGAACATTTCAAGTTTTGACTGGTGGTGAAAAAGCATGTTACTGTTTTGACTAGTACTGTTCACACTAGGACAAAACAGCTATCCATTTTCTTTGTATTAGCACGTTTACTGACACAATAACAACTTGTTGGCATGAATTCAATGTTTTGTGTGAGCTACTTAATTTTCATACGGGCAAAAGAGTTGTGATGAAACAGTTGTAACCATTACACATAGAGTTAAGAGAAGGTCAAGACTGTTTAAAGAAGTGAGCCAATGAGAAAAACTGTATCATTGACGCCAGATCCTCCCCCTGCTCTTCTTATCTGCCCTGAATTTATTTGATTCCTTTTAGATCTACAGATTTCTGTAATTTTTTGGATGTTAAACAAAAGAGTTCATATTACATTTCATTCAACCATTCTTTTGTTCTCTAGATCATTGAAGTTGAAGCAGAAGACACCGAAGTAATGAAACATGGCTTCTACAACACAGTCAGCTGTAGAGTACGTCAGGGGGGCCAGAATCCATCTTGTGAAAACATTAAAGAATCACTCAGTGATTCTAGAGAACTTGAAACAGCAAGGAGTGTTACGTGACGAAGAGGTCTGCAGAATACAAGCAGAAGGGAATGACTACGATAAAAACAGAAAACTTATAGACTCTGTAACCGATAAGGGGGAGAAAGCCAGCTATGAATTCCTCAAAATTATTGACATGACGAGGAAGAGGACCCATGGGAGGACATCCCTTTTCCCTGAGAAACAGACTGTAGCTTCTGCTGAGAGCAAGATGTTCGACCTGCACCACTGGATCAGCTGCTTCCCTTTCAAGGAAGACACACAAATGGGAAAAAACTACCTACAAGGTACGTAATATAGTTATATAACTAATATAGAAAGTGTGTCACGTCTTCATTGCTGATGTTTGATGGGCTGTCATCTGGAAATATGCATCTACTATTTAGTATGAGGGTACAGCATGCAATTTACAATATGTATTTACTTACTCACTGTTGTTTTTATTTTAGGTCCAACACCGTGCCACCGTTACCAGGCAAAGTTGAAGTCAAAAGCACAAAAAATATCAAAAGCGTTTTGGACGGCAAACAAAGATCTGTTTGAAGGAAACAACAAGCCTGATCTGTCGTACATGCCACTTGTATTGGACACACAAGGAAGGGTTTCTGCCTCTAAAATAAAGAAATTGAAGAGCAAGAAAAGCAGGATGAGCCGTTCTAAAAAGCTAGGGACCTACATCCCTAAGGACAAAGCAGACATTTCTCCCAGTGACCTGCTTAAAACAGATAAAAACATACTCTTGGTTGGTAAGTCTGGGATTGGAAAGACAGCACTCGTTCATGAAATGTTAAAACTCTGGACAGAAAAAGATGACAAGGAGCTAAACTACATGTTTTACTTTGACATGAGAAAAATATCCAACATCAAGAGCCTGGAGGACCTTCTCTTCAATGAGTTCAGTGAGCCAGATGAAGGCAAAGACGAGGTCTTACAGGACATAAAGAATAACTCTGACAAAGTTACACTCATTTTTGATGGAATCACAGATCTGTCTTCACCAGTAGTGAAGAGACTTGTTGATAAAGATTTGCTAAAGGATTCCATGGTCGTTTTGACTTGCAGACCAGTGGATGAAGACAACCTTGAAGAAGACCTTCCTTCTGAGGACTTTGATAGAGTGGAAGTGAAAGGCTTTAGTGAGCAGACCATAAAAACATACATATCTGCGATGCTACGTGAGGGAAAGGAGAGGGTTTTGAGCAACGTGGAGTTGTTAACGCTTTGTCATGTACCGATGTATGCACTGATGGTGACTGCATGCTTTTCATTTGAGACATCAGAGGACTTTCAAAAGCCTTGCTGTATAACTGATATCTACATCAACATTTTCCGTTTTTGCCTCAAAAGAAACACAAAAAACATTGATCTAAATGCCTTCATCAAAAGCAAGAGTGAGGAGATACTGTCTTTGGCTGAGGTTGCTTTTCGTGCAACTGAAGAAAAAACTGTGAACTTGACACTACCTCCCTTTGCAGACAGCTGTGTCCTCTCCTTGCTCAAACAACTTGCCATCAAAGTCGCCCCTACTGAAAGTATAACCACCTATGCATTTCTCCATTACACAATGCAGGAGTTTTTTGCAGCACTGTGGCTCTTGAAGAATCCAGATTTAATCAGTAATGTTTTTCAGCAATGCCTCACTGAGAAGAAGAAGCACATGAAACATCTGATCCCTTACATGTGTAGGTTGTTGACTGAGGATAGCCCTAGTTTGATGAAGTATCTGATTCCTGTTGAGGAGCTCAAGAATACATCAAACTGGTTCTTCAAGAAAGTGATTTCCACATTCCTTCCTAGTCTGTGTGAAAACGATGAGCCTGATACTGAGGACAGTGGGCGCATACTGTTCCTATGCCAGTGCTTGTATGAGTCCCAGTGTCCTGAAGCATGCATCGACCTTCTGGAAAAACTGGACTATCGTCTTGACCTCAGTGGAGAGAGTCTCGATCCTTACCCCTGCTGTGCTGTGGCCTACGTGATCACTCAGTCCAAGGAGAAGAAAATATGGCTGAACCTTGAGGACGTCACGATATCACAACAAGGAATGAGACCACTATTAGGATGCCTTCAAAACGTCCAATGGTATGGATGAGCAGTTATTATTACGGCTAAGATTACAACACATCTAATTAGGTAGAATTGAATTGTTCAAAGTTGTAACCTTTAATATATATACAGAAGTAATGAGAAAGTGATAGCTGATAATTCTTCATATTGCAGGTGTGATTCTCTGCCACGGCAGCTGTGGAAGATCTTCCTTCTCAGCGAAGGGGAGATGGACTACATCACCTTACTTGGCCTTGATGGAAATCAGTTGCACCTTCCAGTGGGGGGGGACAGAAAGCTGTTTGAAAGAGCAGTGACAGTCCTGCAGAAGATAAGTGAGAAGGTTAACATCTGCCTCCACTGGGAAAGGGAGACCCCTGACTGCCACAGTCTGTGTGAGACTCTGCTAGAGGCTTTGCCCTACGTCAGCTCACTCAGGTATGTAGCTTGTGTTTTTATGTATTTATGAACCTTTAGTAAAAGGGGCTGAGCCCCGGCACAATTTAACCCCTGGTAACGTTACACGTGTTTTTTTTTCTTGATATTTTTCTTAAGATATTTTAAATGGTACTGTCGTATACATTTAATTAATCCATTTGATAATATGTAATCAACTTAGGCACCCCTCCCATGAAAAGAGAAAAACAAAATCCAATAAAAATATTCATAGCTCATATTCAAATACCTGAATCATTTTGAATATTCGATGACTCATTCCCATCTCTACTTCATAGTTTACTTTGGGTGCTTTTATTGAATACAATGATTGAATAATTCTTTCTGCATTGTTTTTGCATTCACAAGTTTGTTCTAAGTGGTGCAATTTGAGAATGTCTGTCTCCTCCGATGTTACACTGCAACAGAGTCCAACCATACACAGTACATGTTCACAGCTGCAGTACATACGTGTCAGCTGCCCAACTGCTTCACTGTTTGTAAAAGTAAATCTTCATTTAATTAAAAAAAGTAACGTGCTGTACCCTGCTTTAGAAACAATACAGTGAATTCCTCTGTCTGTCTGTCTTACTGTCCCGGGATGTGAGGACACAGACAGTGAGGTTGGTTTACTTCATAGAGGAAATGGTGGTCAAACAACATAGGATCTAAACATTTTAATAGGTTTCATTACAATAAAGATGACGGGCGTTTAACGAGCAGCAGTGTGTGTATCGAGAGAGGAAGAGATGCTGATGTGCATTGATCAGCTCACTAAACCAGCTCCCTGAAAGACAAGTGTAAGTGTGCATGTTGAAAGTCTTCATTGCATTCTGAAATGTGGATCAGCATTAAAGGTCCCATGTCATGGCCATTTCTACTGATCATGATTCCATTGTTGAGGTCTACTAGAATAGATTTAAATTGTGCAAATTTCCAAAATCTCATTAGTTTCTCATACAGCATCTCTGTATAGTATGTGTATTCACTCTCTGTCCTACACGGCTTGTTGGAGCTTCTGCCCCCCCCCCTCCCTGTGAGCCCACTGTGCTCTGATTGGTCAGCGCCCACTCTGTTCTGATGAGTCCACCACCGTTACAGCAGAACATCAGTGATTATGTGTTACAATGGCGTTAGCAACCAGAAAATGACACCAGTAATGACAAACAGATGAGAATGCTGCGTGGGTTCTGGGTGCCGTGTTGGCGGGACGTTGCTCGGCTCGCTGCTGCGAGGAGCGGAGAGTGTGAGCTGGCTTACTGGTGTGGTTTCCTGGTTGCTGCGTGGGGTCTGCGAGACAACGAGATATCGCGAATGGATGCAGGAAGGGGGGGGGGGGTGCTGAGGGGGCTGCAGCACCCCCATCTGCTCCACTAGCACCCCCAAACGCGGCACACCTACAGTGTAAGCGCGTCACAGTTTTGCCGCTGCGAGGCTTCACTAGCACCCCCAGCGCGTCACAGTTTTGCCGCTGAGAGAGTGTGTGTGTGTGAGGAGCTCCATTTGGACCAATGGGTCCATTTGGGTTAGGTCACGTCACTGTACCCAGGAAGAAAAAGAGAAATCTCCAACGAGGCGTTCTGGGGCAGCATAAACAGGTATTTTCTGTGTTAGAGTTTTACTCGCTACAGGGTGTACTTTGAGGGTTTGTGACTCTGCAGACCGTTTACATGCAGAAAAACCTTCATAACACACAAGGGGACGGGTGATAACTGGAAAAGCATGACATGGGACCTTTAAAGGTGGGGTAGGTAAGTTTGAGAAACTGGCTCGAGATACACTTTTTGTTATATTCCATGGAATGCTCTTAGCATCCCGATAGCAATGAATATCTTGTGTATCTTGTGCTTTGACAAAAAATCCATTAAAAAAACGTCATCTGTGGAAGCCGTAGTACTGTAAAAAGCACGACCAATCATTTTAGCCGGCCCGGCTGAAATAACTGGATGGCCTACCTGCCTGTCAGCCTTCCATCTGTGCACAAACTTATCTCATTGGTCATGTGCGCGTTCGTGTGTGTTGGAGGAGGGGCTCTGTAAGGAAGTGGCAGATTTTTTCCGGCTGTGTATTCTCAAATCTAGCGCACTCGAGCTGGTTTCTCCAAAATTACCTACCCCACCTTTAAGGTTAAACTCAGTCTAATCACAGCTGAAATTAGGTTCGATTTTATGTATGTCTTATATTATTCAATGCAGCAATTTAAATGCTGATGTTTTTTTCACCCTTTCTTTTTAACACTTATTAGTCAGCATTCTTAAAAACTATAAATAGACAATAAACATAGTTTGAATAAGTAAGTACTGCATCAGTACTCTTTGTTTCAGTTGAATCTGAACTTTGATCTCTTATGTTGACATCCAGAATTGTACTCTCTCAGAAATTCTTCAAAAGCTGTGGAGAATTAAATATTGCAATTGCATTTGATATTTAACATTAGCACAGTATTAACAGCTGTAACTTTGTTTTACATTTAAAGTTTATACAGTTCTATAGTACATGCAATGACACATGTGTTTGTTATCATGCAGCTTCAGGATGACCCTCAGAGGTCCAGGATTACAGGACCAGGAGCGATGCTATGAGACACTGAAGAGACAAGAAAAGCAGCTGTTTCTGGATTTATGCCTGAAAGCAGCTACTCACTTTCAAGGAGAAAGTGTTCACAATGAAGTGAACAACCTCATCTTTCTGTTTTCTTTTAACTATGATATGCATAACATCCTTCTGGATTTGTATCAACATGTCAAAACTCAAGAGAATTTAGCTGTCATTCAAAAACTGAAGCCATTTTTCCAGTCAGTTCCTGCATTTTGGTTCATAAACCTCTCAAAGAGAAAGACCTCCATCCTGCTGGAAGTGCTGAGACTCCAACCAGAGAAGAAACAAGTGGAGCTGAGACGCTGCTCAGATAAAGAGAGTGAAGTGAGGACTTTGCTGCAGTGTCTGCCTTATATCTCAAAGCTCAGGTAAATGGTAATCTGCAGATTCAATTTAACATAATTTAAACCACAGCTGATGGAGAAAAGTTTGTATTTGATAGAAGCCTAACATCACAATCTCTTGATTCCTTGTGTTTTCAGTTTTGTGCCTCAGTCATCAGAACCTTCAGGTGAACTCCAGTTCTTTGGGACTCTGTTCTGTGCAGCAGCAGAGAGAGAGCAGCAGACAGGAGAGAAGACACTGCTGCTGTTGTTATCAGTGTGCACATATCAAACAATAACTTTAACCGACATAGTATCTTATTATTTGAAGAGGAACCCTCAGTGTGATTTCCTGCTGGATCTGTACTCCCACCTGAAGGACTATGAGACTGAAACAGGTCTGAGTGTCCTTCCATCGTTAAAGTCTGTTCTCCAGTCAGCTCCTGCAGTCTGGATCATAGCCCTCTCAAAGAGAAAGAGCTCCATCCTGCTGGAAGTGCTGAGACTCCAACCAGAGAAGAAACAAGTGGAGCTGAGAGGCTGCTCAGAAGAAGAGAGTGAAGTGAGGATTTTGCTGCAGTGTCTGCCTTATATCTCAAAGCTCAGGTCAGTCAGACAGATAATGGACATGTATTCATATTTTGTATATTTATTCAGATTCTGAAATATAAATAAACTGATAATCGACAGCGTTTCAAAAAAGACATTATTGTCATTCCCAAATAAACATGATTTAGATAAAGCTGAATCAAATCAGTATCACTTATCACACTCTTCTTCCTGTTTGGAATAATGAAATAATGTGAATCATAAAAAGAATAATGTTGCTCTGATACAACAAGACAGTCCTGCTAATACCTCCTCATACTGGAGCTATCAGAATAAAGTATATTCAGGATTAACTGGAATAGATTTAGGAGCTGACTGATAGATTCATTATCCGGCCAAAATATTGCTTTCAGCCAATAAATGAAGTGTAACTGAGCAGGATGTTTGAACAATGAGTGGTTAAGACGACTGAATGAGGGGATTTTACCCAAGTGGCTTATTAGCCATTTTCAAAAAAACTGTGATCAGGAAGTGAAAAGGTTCTCACTATGAAGAGATGATTATGTAAAATAAGCACTGTTTAATTTTCATGGAGTTTTAAATAATGATAGATGTTAAAATGTGTGATCCAGTATTTACAGCTTTTCAGCCCCCCTTGTTGGTTTAGGAGTGGTTTTCCAGTATAAAATACATTCTTTAATACAGAGCTGAGGAAACACCTTTGAAATCTGAGTATTGGTCCATTAAACATTTTGTTAAGTATCTAATTTCCTAAAGTTCTTCAAAGACTCACTTACAGCCCTGTTAACAGCATGTTTACTTTAATGTTCAATTCATTAATTTTACTAAATGATTCCCATTAACGGTACTTGCAAGCTTTTAGCCAATACACTCCTTATCAGTAAAGCATGGCTCTTTGTGTACTGTTGACATCATCTGATAACAACATGTTCAACCCTTACATCAATACAAATAAATAAAAATCCCACATTTTGATCAATAAAGTACATTTGATCTTAATTCTTGTTCTAGTTACTGTCCGTGGTTTGGAGTCTCAGGTGGAGTCCAGTTCTTTGGGACTCTGTTCTGTGCAGCAGCAGAGAGAGAGCAGCAGACAGGAGAGAAGACACTGGAGCTGTTATCATCAGTGTGCACATATCCAACATTCCCTCTTCCTCACATATATGATCCTGATGATGGAGAATATCAGAGTGGTTTCCTGCTGGATCTGTACTCCCACCTGAAGGACTATGAGACTGAATCAGGCCTGAGTGTCCTTCCATCTTTACAGTCTGTTCTCCAGTCAGCTCCTGCAGTCTGGACCATAGACCTCTCAGAGAGAAAGACCTCCATCCTGCTGGAAGTGCTGAGACTCCAACCAGAGAAGAAACAAGTGGAGCTGACAGGCTGCTCAGGTGGAGAGAGTGAAGTGAGGACTTTGCTGCAGTGTCTGCCTTATATCTCACAGCTCAGGTAAATGGTAATCTGCAGATTCAATTTAACATAATTTAAACCACAGCTGATGGAGAAAAGTTTGTATTTGATAGAAACCTAACATCACAATCTCTTGATTCCTTGTGTTTTCAGTTTTGTGCCTCAGTCATCAGAACCTTCAGGTGAACTCCAGTTCTTTGGGACTCTGTTCTGTGCAGCAGCAGAGAGAGAGCAGCAGACGGGAGAGAAGAAACTGCTGCTGTTGTTATCAGTGTGCACATATCAAACAATAACCTTAACCGACATAGTATCTTATTATTTTAAGAGGAACCCTCAGTGTGATTTCCTGCTGGATCTGGCCTCCCACCTGAAGGACTATGAGACTGAAACAGGCCTGAGTGTCCTTCCATTATTCCAGTCTGTTCTCCAGTCAGCTCCTGAAGTCTGGACCATAAACCTCTCACAGAGAAAGACCTCCATCCTGCTGGAAGTGCTGAGACTCCAACCAGAGAAGAAACAAGTGAAGCTGAGAGGCTGCTCATATGGAGAGAGTGAAGTGAGGACTTTGCTGCAGTGTCTGCCTTATATCTCAAAGCTCAGGTAAATGGTAATCTGCAGATTCAATTTAACTTAATTTAAACCACAGCTGATGGAGAAAAGTTTGTATTTGATAGAAGCCTAACATCACAATCTCTTGATTCCTTGTGTTTTCAGTTTTGTGCCTCAGTCATCAGAACCTTCAGGTGAACTCCAGTTCTTTGGGACTCTGTTCTGTGCAGCAGCAGAGAGAGAGCAGCAGACAGGAGAGAAGACACTGCTGCTGTTGTTATCAGTGTGCACATATCAAACAATAACCTTAACCGACATAGTATCTTATTATTTGAAGAGGAACCCTCAGGGTGATTTCCTGCTGGATCTGTACTCCCACCTGAAGGACTATGAGACTGAAACAGGCCTGAGTGTCCTTCCATCGTTACAGTCTGTTCTCCAGTCAGCTCCTGCAGTCTGGACCATAAACCTCTCAAAGAGAAAGACCTCCATCCTGCTGGAAGTGCTGAGACTCCAACCAGAGAAGAAACAAGTGGAGCTGAGAGGCTGCTCAGGTGGAGAGAGTGAAGTGAGGACTTTGCTGCAGTGTCTGCCTTATATCTCAAAGCTCAGGTTGGTGGGACCATTACTGTTTATTTTATGATATTGATTTTTCTATGTGGATTTGTTAAGAAATACAAAAATAAATGACATCTGATTATGGGCAGTGTTTCAGAAAGAGACAATAGTCCTTCACTTCTGAACATGATGTAGATGAATAACATTTCCCAGTTCAGTCATTATTTGAAACCACAGTCTTCTACCAGTTTGAGAATAATGAAATGATGTGAATCCTAATGAGAGAACTTAAGCTCTGAGACAGCAACACCATCATGCTCATGCCTCATTCAGAAATAAAGACACATACAAACATAAATAAACTTGCTGATAAAACTGCTATCCGTGTTTTAACATATCTCTGTTTTTATTTAAATAAGGAGCAATTAAAAGAATAAAGGTACAACAAGTAATACTACATTTAACTACCTCTTTAACGGATACTAGATTCAACTTTACTGACTCTAATGAAACTTCTAAAGACTGTTAGTGAGCTTTAAATAAAGATTTCAGACACATGAACAATCATAACTCCTAGTCATCAGAGACAGAGGAGGTGTTACTAAACTCTGATTCACATGTGTATTATCTCAGGAGCAAAGTGAAGAGTTTCATGATGTGATGTTCTCTTCTACATGATAGGGACTCTAGATGTTGTTGTTCCACTTTTTACATTATTATATTGGGAATATCATTTTACATACAAAACTCATTCACAAAGTCAAATCCCCTCAGGTGAACAGAATCACTGGGAACAGGGTGTGTACGGGTGCTGGAAATCCTTGAAAATGCTTGAAATTGCACGAGGTGTTTTCAAGGTTTGAAAAGTGCTTGCATTTTGGGAATGGTGCTTGAATTTGGGATAAAGTGCTTGAAATTGTAAATGCTTTACTTCGCTTTTTAGATTAAAAGAAAATAAAAAAGTCGGAGCGTGCTTAATTGCTTCGCTTTTACATAAAACAGCTCTGCTCCGGCCTTCCCGCGCAATGCGCGTGACCGGCAAGTAGGTACGTGTGTGACCTGGGCATTCTGATGAGAGTGATAGATGACAGTATGCCAGGAGGTTGCCGTTTCAACGAGCGTTGGCTAGCAGAAGACAAATACAAGCCATGGCTAAGACGAGGGTCAAGCGAAGCCCAAGAGTAGCCTCCTGCAAAGTGTGCAACAATAACGATGCGAGAGTCTGCGCTGACGAGCCACACACCACACGAAAGGTACGCCATAGTAGAGCATTTTAAATTAGGCTATCTTGCATGTAAAATACATGACACTTTTCTCTGTGCGCGGCAAAACAAGCTCGCCAAAATGGCTTCACCAGTCTGGCAGTATTTTAAGTGTCCGAAAATGACAATAAAATAGCGGTATGCAACGTGTGTGTGAAGCAGAAATCCTGCAGCTCCACCCGCTGTGACGGACCGGTGAGCGGAGCAGAACACACATTAAGAGTTAGACCTAACACACTTAGCTATTTGATCTACCTCTGGAACAAGCTAAACTAGTTATACATATATTTATTCTTCACTGTCGGGTCGCTCATTACTGGATCAGTGAGCTGCAGGAGATACTGACGGGCTGTCAGGAGAGAGAGAGAGGAAAAGAGAGCGGTATCGGCCGATACTGATTCCGGCGATCGGCCCCAAAATTGGCGATCGGAGCATCCCTAATAATTGTATATGATATGTTTTATAATGATTGATCATGAAAGTGTTCTCAAAGCTGGTAAAGGTGCAGCTAGTTTGAATGACTTTGTATACTGCAGGGTAGCTTGTGGATTTACTCCAGGTGGAACTAAAGTCTGATTTAACACATGATTATATTTCACATCATTCATCCACATCTGTGAAGTAACTAAAGGTATTAAATACATGTAGTGGAGTAAAAGTACACCATTTACCTCTGACTTGTGTTTACTGCCAACCTAAAAGTACCTCAAAAATAGTAATCAATAATATATTGAAAAGTTATTTGGCTGATTGTTTTATATTGGCTCAGCCAGGTTATATGGGATGCCCAGTCTACGTACAGATGGGTCACTCATTTTGAAATATTAAACTTAGTTTTCTTTTCTAAACATTTTAATTTTTCATCCTCATGTAGAATGCTATTATGAAACACACATGTGGTTGTTTATAGCATAAAGAACATCTGATTTAATGTGAGGTAGGGAAATAATCATTTGAGTATAAGTATGTGTATATAAATATGTAATTTACAACAGCTGTAAGATGCTTGAAAAGCTTGAAAATGCACCTTGAAAATGCTTGAAAAGTGCTTGAATTTGACTTTGGAAAAGGTGTAAGAACCCTGTGGGAAGCAAATAAGAAGTGATTTGAGGAACAGGATTAGTGTCTGTGTTGTGAGTCAGTAGAAGAGCTAAGTGATGACACATGTTGTGGAAAGGTTCATTTACTGAAAGCTTTCCAAAATCCAAATATAATCCTTTTAACAGCAAAGTTACTTCAATATGAGGTTGATGGACTTTACTGTGTTATGCTCACTAGCAGGTATTTGTAGACATTTAGCAGAAACACTCCCTATCAGAGTCTTTCTCTGCTGTTGACATCATCTGATAACAAACTGTTCAATTCTCGTTCCAGTTCCTGGTTTGACGACTCAGGTGAACTCTCAGGTGGAGTCAAGTTCTTTGGGACTCTGTTCTGTGCAGCAGCAGAGAGAGAGCAGCAGACAGGAGAGAAGACACTGGAGCTGTTATCATCAGTGTGCACATATCCAAGATTCCCTCTTCCTGGCAACCAGGGTTATGGAGAATATAAGTGTGGTTTCCTGCTGGATCTGTACTCCCACCTGAAGGACTGTGAGACTGAAACATGCCTGAGTGTCCTTCCATCATTACAGTCAGTTCTCCAGTCAGCTCCTGCAGTCTGGATCATAGACCTCTCAAAGAGAAAGAGCTCCATCCTGCTGGAAGTGCTGAGACTCCAACCAGAGAAGAAACAAGTGAGGCTGACAGGCTGCTCAGGTGGAGAGAGTGAAGTGAGGACTTTGCTGCAGTGTCTGCCTTATATCTCAAAGCTCAGGTTGGTGGGACCATTACTGTTTATTTTATGATATTGATTTTTCTATGTGGATTTGTTAAGAAATACAAAAATAAATGACATCTGATTATGGGCAGTGTTTCAGAAAGAGACAATAGTCCTTCACTTCTGAACATGATGTAGATGAATAACATTTCCCAGTTCAGTCATTATTTGAAACCACAGTCTTCTACCAGTTTGAGAATAATGAAATGATGTGAATCCTAATGAGAGAACTTAAGCTCTGAGACAGCAACACCATCATGCTCATGCCTCATTCAGAAATAAAGACACATACAAACATAAATAAACTTGCTGATTAAACTGCTATCAGCGTTTTAACATATCTCTGTTTTAATTTAAATAAAGAGCAATTAAAAGAAAAAAGGCACAACAAGTAATACTACATTTATCTACCTCTTTAACGGATACTAGCTTCAACTTTACTGACTCTAATGAAACTTCTAAAGACTGTTAGTGAGCTTTAAATAAAGATTTCAGACACATGAACAATCCTAATGCTGCGTTCACACCGGACGCGATGTGACTATTCGCTTCGCTCTAATCGCTCCCATCGCATCGCTCTAAACGCTGGAGTTTCACCGCGGCTGCCAGCTGTGTTTACTCGCATCATTCAAACAAGACGCGCTGGCTCGGGAGCTACAACTACAACAAATGAACATATTTTACCGTGATTAAATTGTAATACACGTTTCTAAATGATGCCGAAGTAACAACATACTGATACCGGTTAGTAACAACCATGAATTAATGCTTTGACAAGTCTGGAGACAAGACGGCAGGCAAAACACCTTTTAAAATGCTTGTTTTCTGAATGAAGATCGGGTCGACCAGGCTAAGCTAACGTTGTATATGCTCATTCCACACTCATAACAACGGCCTACAGACATAAATAAAGCAGCGACTGTATTCGCCATGGCACAGACAGTCTGTGGTTTGTACTTGTTTAAGTTTTGTCCAGTTTCTGAACAGATATGAGGAGCTGTGAGCTCTGTGTGCTAACTGCTAACAGCTAACGGCTGATGTTGTGTGGTTGAACGTCAGTGACGGCGGCTGAGATCCTCACCGCTGATTGGCTTCCGCGAGAACGCGTCACGTGAATTTGACGCTCGAGTTGAAAAAATTGAACTTTCGCGTTTAACGCGGCACCGTTCAATCGCCTCAATCGCGTGATTCGCGCCGCATCCACCGCTTCATGCGCGCCGTCGGAGCGAATTCGCGTCTGTCCGCGTCTCTGCATTGACTTTACATGTAATCGCGCAGCCCCCAAACATCGCATCGCGTCTGGTGTGAACGCAGCATAACTTCTAGTCATCAGAGACAGAGGAGGTGTTACTAAACTCTGATTCACATGTGTATTATCTCAGGAGCAAAGTGAAGAGTTTCATGATGTGATGTTCTCTTCTACATGATAGGGACTCGAGATGTTGTTGTTCCACTTTTTACATTATTATATCTGGAATATCATTTTACATACAAGACTCATTCACAAAGTAAAATCCCCTCAGGTGAACAGAATCACTGGGAAGCAAATAAGAAGTGATTTGAGGAACAGGATTAGTGTCTGTGTTGTGAGTCAGTAGAAGAGCTAAGTGATGACACATGTTGTGGAAAGGTTCATTTACTGAAAGCTTTCCAAAATCCAAATATAATCCTTTTAACAGCAAAGTTACTTCAATATGAGGTTGATGGACTTTACTGTGTTATGCTCACTTGCAGGTATTTGTAGACATTTAGCAGAAACACTCCCTATCAGAGTCTTTCTCTGCTGTTGACATCATCTGATAACAAACTGTTCAATTCTCGTTCCAGTTCCTGGTTTGAACTCTCAAAAGGAGTCAAGTTCTTTGGGACTCTGTTCTGTGCAGCAGCAGAGAGAGAGCAGCAGACAGGAGAGAAGACACTGGAGCTGTTATCATCAGTGTGCACACCTCCATCATTCCCTCTTCCTGACAAATCTTATCCTGATTATTTAGAATATCAGGGTGATTTCCTGCTGGATCTGGCCTCCCACCTGAAGGACTATGAGACTGAAACAGGCCTGAGTGTCCTTCCATCATTAAAGTCTGTTCTCCAGTCAGCTCCTGCAGTCTGGATCATAGACCTCTCAAAGAGAAAGACCTCCATCCTGCTGGAAGTGCTGAGACTCCAACCAGAGAAGAAACAAGTGGAGCTGAGAGGCTGCTCAGATGGAGAGAGTGAAGTGAGGACTTTGCTGCAGTGTCTGCCTTATATCTCACAGATCAGGTTGGTGGGACCATTACTGTTTATTTTATGATATTGATTTTTCTATGTGGATTTGTTAAGAAATACAAAATAAATGACATCTGATTATGGGCAGTGTTTCAGAAAGAGACAATAGTCCTTCACTTCTGAACATGATGTAGATGAATAACATTTCCCAGTTCAGTCATTATTTGAAACCACAGTCTTCTACCAGTTTGAGAATAATGAAATGATGTGAATCCTAATGAGAGAACTTAAGCTCTGAGACAGCAACACCATCATGCTCATGCCTCATTCAGAAATAAAGACACATACAAACATAAATAAACTTGCTGATAAAACTGCTATCAGCGTTTTAACATATCTCTGTTTTAATTTAAATAAAGAGCAATTAAAAGAATAAAGGTACAACAAGTAATACTACATTTAACTACCTCTTCAACGGATACTAGCTTCAACTTTACTGACTCTAATGAAACTTCTAAAGATTGTTAGTGAGCTTTAAATAAAGATTTCAGACACATGAACAATCCTAATGCTGCATTCACACCGAACGCGATGTGACTATTCGCTTCGCTCTAATCGCTCCTATCGCATCGCTCTAAACGCTGGAGTTTCACCGCGGCTGCCAGCTGTGTTTACTCGCATCATTCAAACAAGACGCGCTGGCTCGGGAGCTACAACTACAACAAATGAACATATTTTACCGTGATTAAATTGTAATACACGTTTCTAAATGATGCCGAAGTAACAACATACTGATACCGGTTAGTAACAACCATGAATTAATGCTTTGACAAGTCTGGAGACAAGACGGCAGGCAAAACACCTTTTAAAATGCTTGTTTTCTGAATGAAGATCGGGTCGACCAGGCTAAGCTAACGTTGTATATGCTCATTCCACACTCATAACAACGGCCTACAGACATAAATAAAGCAGCGACTGTATTCGCCATGGCACAGACAGTCTGTGGTTTGTACTTGTTTACGTTTTGTCCAGTTTCTGAACAGATATGAGGAGCTGTGAGCTCTGTGTGCTAACTGCTAACAGCTAACGGCTGATGTTGTGTGGTTGAACGTCAGTGACGGCGGCTGAGATCCTCACCGCTGATTGGCTTCCGCGAGAACGCGTCACGTGAATTTGACGCTCGAGTTGAAAAAATTGAACTCTCGCGTTTAACGCGGCACCGTTCAATCGCCTCAATCGCGTGATTCGCGCCGCATCCACCGCTTCATGCGCGCCGTCGGAGCGAATTCGCGTCTGTCCGCGTCTCTGCATTGACTTTACATGTAATCGCGCAGCCCCCAAAACATCGCATCGCGTCTGGTGTGAACGCAGCATAACTTCTAGTCATCAGAGACAGAGGAGGTGTTACTAAACTCTGATTCACATGTGTATTATCTCAGGAGCAAAGTGAAGAGTTTCATGATGTGATGTTCTCTTCTACATGATAGGGACTCGAGATGTTGTTGTTCCACTTTTTACATTATTATATCTGGAATATCATTTTACATACAAAACTCATTCACAAAGTCAAATCCCCTCAGGTGAACAGAATCACTGGGAAGCAAATAAGAAGTGATTTGAGGAACAGGATTAGTGTCTGTGTTGTGAGTCAGTAGAAGAGCTAAGTGATGACACATGTTGTGGAAAGGTTCATTTACTGAAAGCTTTCCAAAATCCAAATATAATCCTTTTAACAGCAAAGTTACTTCAATATGAGGTTGATGGACTTTACTGTGTTTTGCTCACTTGCAGGTATTTGTAGACATTTAGCAGAAACACTCTCTATCAGAGTCTTTCTCTGCTGTTGACATCATCTGATAACAAACTGTTCAATTCTCGTTCCAGTTTCAAGTATGGAGTCTCAGGTGGAGTCAAGTTCTTTGGGACTCTGTTCTGTGCAGCAGCAGAGAGAGAGCAGCAGACAGGAGAGAAGACACTGGAGCTGTTATCATCAGTGTGCACATATCCATCATTCCCTTTTACTGACAAACAGGGTGATGGAGAATATCAGTGTGATTTCCTGCTGGATCTGTACTCCCACCTGAAGGACTGTGAGACTGAAACAGGCCTGAGTTTCCTTCCATCATTACAGTCTGTTCTCCAGTCAGCTCCTGCAGTCTGGACCATAGACCTCTCAGAGAGAAAGAGCTCCATCCTGCTGGAAGTGCTGAGACTCCAACCAGAGAAGACACAAGTGAAGCTGACAGGCTGCTCAGATGGAGAGAGTGAAGTGAGGACTTTGCTGCAGTGTCTGCCTTATATCTCAAAGCTCAGGTTGGTGGGACCATTACTGTTTATTTTATGATATTGATTTTTCTATGTGGATTTCTTAAGAAATACAAAATAAATGATATCTGATTATGGGCAGTGTTTCAGAAAGAGACAATAGTCCTTCACTTCTGAACATGATGTAGATGAATAACATTTCCCAGTGCAGTCATTATTTGAAACCACAGTCTTCTACCAGTTTGAGAATAATGAAATGATGTGAATCCTAATGAGAGAACTTAAGCTCTGAGACAGCAACACCATCATGCTCATGCCTCATTCAGAAATAAAGACACATACAAACATAAATAAACTTGCTGATAAAACTGCTATCAGCGTTTTAACATATCTCTGTTTTAATTTAAATAAAGAGCAATTAAAAGAATAAAGGTACAACAAGTAATACTACATTTAACTACCTCTTTAACGGATACTAGCTTCAACTTTACTGACTCTAATGAAACTTCTAAAGACTGTTAGTGAGCTTTAAATAAAGATTTCAGACACGTGAACAATCCTAATGCTGCGTTCACACCGGACGCGATGTGACTATTCGCTTCGCTCTAATCGCTCCTATCGCATCGCTCTAAACGCTGGAGTTTCACCGCGGCTGCCAGCTGTGTTTACTCGCATCATTCAAACAAGACGCGCTGGCTCGGGAGCTACAACTACAACAAATGAACATATTTTACCGTGATTAAATTGTAATACACGTTTCTAAATGATGCCGAAGTAACAACATACTGATACCGGTTAGTAACAACCATGAATTAATGCTTTGACAAGTCTGCAGACAGACGGCAGGCAAAACACCTTTTAAAATGCTTGTTTTCTGAATGAAGATCGGGTCGACCAGGCTAAGCTAACGCAGTATATGCTCCGACCGTCCACACTCATAACAACGGCCTACAGACATAAATAAAGCAGCGACTGTATTCGCCATGGCACAGACAGTCTGTGGTTTGTACTTGTTTAACTTTTGTCCAGTTTCTGAACAGATATGAGGAGCTGTGAGCTCTGTGTGCTAACTGCTAACAGCTAACGGCTGATGTTGTGTGGTTGAACGTCAGTGACGGCGGCTGAGATCCTCACCGCTGATTGGCTTCCGCGAGAACGCGTCACGTGAATTTGACGCTCGAGTTGAAAAAATTGAACTCTCGCGTTTAACGCGGCACCGTTCAATCGCCTCAATCGCGTGATTCGCGCCGCATCCACCGATTCATGCGCGCCGTCGGAGCGAATTCGCGTCTGTCCGCGTCTCTGCATTGACTTTACATGTAATCGCGCCGCCCCCAAACATCGCATTGCGTCCGGTGTGAACGCAGCATAACTTCTAGTCATCAGAGACAGAGGAGGTGTTACTAAACTCTGATTCACATGTGTATTATCTCAGGAGCAAAGTGAAGAGTTTCATGATGTGATGTTCTCTTCTACATTATAGTGACTCTAGATGTTGTTGTTCCACTTTTTACATTATTATATCTGGAATATCATTTTACAAACAAAACTCATTCACAAAGTAAAATCCCCTCAGGTGAACAGAATCACTGGGAAGCAAATAAGAAGTGATTTGAGGAACAGGATTAGTGTCTGTGTTGTGAGTCAGTAGAAGAGCTAAGTGATGACACATGTTGTGGAAAGCTTCATTTACTGAAAGCTTTACAAAATCCAGATATGATCCTTTTAACAGCAAAGTTACTTCAATATGAGGTTGATGGACTTTACTGTGTTATGCTCACTTGAAGGTATTTGTAGACATTTAGCAGAAACACTCCCTATCAGAGTCTTTCTCTGCTGTTGACATCATCTGATAACAAACTGTTCAATTCTCGTTCCAGTTCCTGGTTTGACGACTCAGATGAACTCTCAGGTGGAGTCAAGTTCTTTGGGACTCTGTTCTGTGCAGCAGCAGAGAGAGAGCAGCAGACAGGAGAGAAGACACTGGAGCTGTTATCATCAGTGTGCACATATCCATCATTCCCTTTTACTGACACACAGGGTTATGAAGAATGTCAGTGTGATTTCCTGCTGGATCTGTACTCCCACCTGAAGGACTATGAGACTGAAACAGGCCTGAGTTTCCTTCCATCATTACAGTCAGTTCTCCAGTCAGCTCCTGTAGTCTGGATCATAGACCTCTCAGAGAGAAAGACCTCCCTCCTGCTGGAAGTGCTGAGACTCCAACCAGAGAAGAAACAAGTGAAGCTGACAGGCTGCTCAGATGGAGAGAGTGAAGTGAGGACTTTGCTGCAGTGTCTGCCTTATATCTCAAAGCTCAGGTTGGTGGGACCATTACTGTTTATTTTGTTATATTGATTTTTCTATGTGGATTTCTTAAGAAATACAAAAATAAATGACATCTGATTATGGGCAGTGTTTCAGAAAGAGACAATAGTCCTTCACTTCTGAACATGATGTAGATGAATAACATTTCCCAGTGCAGTCATTATTTGAAACCACAGTCTTCTACCAGTTTGAGAATAATGAAATGATGTGAATCCTAATGAGAGAACTTAAGCTCTGAGACAGCAGCACCATCATGCTCATACCTCATTCAGAAATAAAGACACATGCAAACATAAATAAACTTGCTGATAAAACTGCTATCAGCGTTTTAACATATCTCTGTTTTAATTTAATCAAAGAGCAATTAAAAGAATAAAGGCACAACAAGTAATACTACATGTATCTACCTCTTTAACAGATACTAGCTTCAACTTGACTGACTCTAATGAAACTTCTAAAGACTGTTAGTTAGCTTTAAATAAACATTTCAGACACATGAACAATAATAACTTCTAGTCATCAGAGACAGAGGAGGTGTTACTAAACTCTGATTCACATGTGTATTATCTCAGGAGCAAAGTGAAGAGTTTCATGATGTGATGTTCTCTTCTACATTATAGTGACTCTAGATGTTGTTGTTCCACTTTTTACATTATTATATCTGGAATATCATTTTACATACAAAACTCATTCACAAAGTAAAATCCCCTCAGGTGAACAGAATCACTGGGAAGCAAATAAGAAGTGATTTGAGGAACAGGATTAGTGTCTGTGTTGTGAGTCAGTAGAAGAGCTAAGTGATGACACATGTTGTGGAAAGGTTCATTTACTGAAAGCTTTACAAAATCCAGATATGATCCTTTTAACAGCAAAGTTACTTCAATATGAGGTTGATGGACTTTACTGTGTTATGCTCACTTGCAGGTATTTGTAGACATTTAGCAGAAACACTCCCTATCAGAGTCTTTCTCTGCTGTTGACATCATCTGATAACAAACTGTTCAATTCTCGTTCCAGTTCCTGGTTTGAAGACTCAGATGAAGTCAAGTTCTTTGGGACTCTGTTCTGTGCAGCAGCAGAGAGAGAGCAGCAGACAGGAGAGAAGACACTGGAGCTGTTATCATCAGTGTGCACATATCCATCATTCCCTTTTACTGACAAACAGGGTTATGAAGAATGTCAGTGTGATTTCCTGCTGGATCTGTACTCCCACCTGAAGGACTATGAGACTGAAACAGGCCTGAGTTTCCTTCCATCATTACAGTCTGTTCTCCAGTCAGCTCCTGAAGTCTGGTTCATAGACCTCTCAGAGAGAAAGAGCTCCATCCTGCTGGAAGTGCTGAGACTCCAACCAGAGAAGAAACAAGTGAAGCTGACAGGCTGCTCAGGTGGAGAGAGTGAAGTGAGGACTTGGCTGCAGTGTCTGCCTTATATCTCAAAGCTCAGGTTGGTGGGACCATTACTGTTTATTTTGTTATATTGATTTTTCTATGTGGATTTGTTAAGAAATACAAAAATAAATGACATCTGATTATGGGCAGTGTTTCAGAAAGAGACAATAGTCCTTCACTTCTGAACATGATGTAGATGAATAACATTTCCCAGTTCAGTCATTATTTGAAACCACATCTTCTACC